CTGTATATATGTAATATATATATATATATATATATATATATATATATATATATATATATATATATATATATATATATTACAGATCCTCATGGAATATAAAACCAAAGTTTGCAATTTGTTTCCCAGTTACACTAGATGCTTGTATCAAAGGAATAAGTACTAGTATGTAAAAAAAAAAATAATAATAATAAAAAATATATGTATATAAAATACTAGTACTTATTCCTTTGATATAGTCACTTTGGCAAAAAGCACTAATATGCAGTGAACCTAGTGAAAGTGAAAGATACTTGTCAATATTTGAATTACTAGTTTAAAAAAAACAGTTATGAATTAAAACAATAATACAATTTTAAAGAATAAATGTTTCAACAGCTTGCCATAATAGACAGCTGTAATCTATCTGAGACGTGAGAGACTACGTTTATGGCATTGTAGCTTGACTGTTAGTGGTCCCTCACAGACTAATTACTAAGGTGTTTTTTTCCACGGGGAGGAGCAACCAGAGCAGCAGAGTAGCGTAGCGTACTAGACACTTGCGTTTGGAAAGCGAAGGCACCAGCGTGCGCTCCGTGGATGCGCTCGAACCTCACGCAGTGATATTCAAATAACCGAATTTTTAACCTACAGTTGATTGCTTGCGTAATATGTCGACAGAACGTTAACTTGCGTTTGCATTTATTTTACAGTCATTTATTTTATACGTTTATATAATCTGCATTGCGCTCCTGGAGAAGTTCGGTCTTGAACTGTATTCGGTCTTGAACTTGAAGAGTATTTTGGGGCTAAATGTAAACGCATAGTTGTTATGGAGACATTATGAAAGGCAAAGACATGTAATGCACTATATTACGCGCTGCAATTTTAATGTTAACTACACAGATATCTACTACAATGTCACAGGCTGAGGTTGACATGGCTAGTCTTGGCTTCCCGAAGTTGCCTGCTGGTTTTGACGCGGACTCGTTCTTCCCAGCGCGCCTGCCGCCGAGGCGGAGGAGACACTCGGCGAACTCCAGGAGAAATTCCTACAGGTTTAACAAACTCCACACCATGGATGTTGAGCCCCAAGAGAGCATTGCATCTCTGACAAAAACTCTTTCGTGGTCAGCCGACAATATTTTATCGGAAAGTACCAACGAGGAGAAAAAGACAGACTCTTCTCCTCCAGTGTCACTTGCCTCCAGCTCTCCACCTGAGACGCAAGACTCGGACCCGCGACCCGCTGATACCTGGGCCACCGAGGAGCCCAGCGCGCAGGAGGCTGATGCCAGCTCGGACTCCGATGATGAAAGCACCGAGAAGAAAGCTGTTTTGTCAAGAGCCCTGTTTGAGAGTAAACGCGAGCAGGAGGAAAAGGATGAGGTTGAGACTAAAGCTGTGGCGACTTCACCTGATGGAAGATTTCTGAAATTCAACATTGAGATCGGAAGGGGGTCCTTTAAGACAGTCTACAAAGGATTGGATACGGAGACCACCGTGGAGGTTGCTTGGTGTGAACTGCAGGTAAGGAGGTTAAAGTTCAGTTACTTTCACGGGGGTCAACTTTTCGAGTAACCCAAATTGCCGTATGGCGCCCCTAGTCAATTAACTGTCGAATTGTCCAGTAGCCCCTTACTGCAGAACAAAGATCCAGGGGGCGGGGTTGGATCCACATCTAGGGGGTGGAGATGGTAGGTTTAGGGGTGGAGATGGGTGGGTTTAGGGATCGGGGGTGGAGACGGGTGGGTTTAGGTATATGTAAAGTGGGAGGAGTTGGATCTGGATCCAACCTCGCCCCCTGGATCTTGTGTTCTGCAGTGAGGACCATCTCGAATTGTTCAAGCAGTAATTCTTTTATTATCAGTAAATGTATGTAGAAGTTCATAGATGTGCATGGGATCATTTATTGGGTCACCAGGTAAGACAGTCAGTGAAACTGAATCTTGCAGTTAGCACCAGCAAGTGTTTTAGGAAGTGTTCTGTATGGTCTCACACTCTTATGATAATGAGGAAGGGGGGGATAAGAAAGGGTGTAAATAAAATATCAAGTTATGATAGCATTTAGATAGTCTTTGTGTCATACAATGACTGCGCCCCGCTGATATCTAAACTCACCCTATGATGAATGGACGAATGTATTTGTTATCTTTGCACGGCTAGTAATCAGATGCATCTGTTCTTCAATGGAAATGAGAGTAACACTGATGTCATGTTTTAGCTTACTTTGCAAGGCAGTTTTCATTAGCATGTGACATTACAGTCTAATCAAGGCAGTGGATTTCTAAAAAGTCACATTTTTATTTAGCTACAGATGACATACTGAAACTGTATTATCTCATCCTAAGAGGCAAGATCTCATCATGTGAAGTGTCAATAGGTTGATTAATGTGCGAGGCTTAAGACAGGAATGACTAGCTCAAGGTTATGTCGTTGAATGTTTTAGTGTTAAATATAGATGGGTTAACCTATTTTTATTTTCACCTCAGACAGTTATGTTTTTTTTTTTAAGAAAGTTTGAACTTTCATCTAGTTTTATAACTTAGTGTGGTTTGTCAAACACGGTTTATAATGCGGACAGTTCAGATTCTAAATTCTGATTAAACGAGTCATTCGAATCTATGGTTTCAGTGATTTTTAGGATGTGTGAAGGGGTCCATCACCTCTGGTAGCTTATTACTGTAGTATGAGCAGCACAGCGCTTGATAAAATCATGTGGATGAAATCTGCTGGATCTGTTATTTTTAACTTTACAAATTGATCTTGATTGAATGGAATGTAGACAGTCTGATATATCTTTCATTTTAGGTATAAGTATAGATGTGTTCTGATATTTTTTGTACACTGAATCCAAATCCTAGAATACTCCGCTGTGCATTAGGAAACTTCTTCTTCAGTGCTTAAAGCTGTGTTGGCTATTATATCCACCATCACAGGTAACCTGAGTATTGGGCACTGGACCTTCTCCCAGGCGTCCTTATGGTGCAATATGCAAGATGCCACATGCTGTGGTACTAGGCAAATTGCTGGGGTCATCAAGTACATTTTTCCAGCAAAAACCTGCATACTAAAACATGCTATGTTCATAGTACAGATGAATTGGCCCAAATCTGCAGCACAGATGTGATTCTAAACAATACTTTACAAATCTGATTTTGGCTAGTTCAATAAATCCCACTAGATCTAATATAGTGGTTGTCATTTGGTGGGTTGCAGGTCTGTTCAAGAAAGGAAACAGTGCTAAATGCAAACAATAAAATGTAATGAACTGTAGCTTTTTAAAAGGAGGATAAATTGCTTTCCATATAATTTTTTTGTTGACATCAAAGGTTGAATGTCCGTACTCTTCAGGTATCACTTGGTAAAAGTTAACCAAATTAGCCAGATGCCAACATGAGCACTTGCGGTCTTACCGACTTACAATGGCCGCCATATGCCCATGTCCATTAAGTCCACGAGACCGTAGGGTGTCCCATTTGTCATTTTAGTGTTCAGAAGGGTGCTCACGAGCGCCCCCTCTGCGGCCGTTATGCACCCTCGATCCGCACTTCTGCCAAGCCTGCACTGGGGCGAGCTTCGCAGCAGACTTCTACCCGACAGTCAAAGCGGCATTATGTCACAAAAGTGCGGACTCAGAGGAAGACCGCGAGGGTTTAGGTTGCCATTTGGGACAGGGCCATACTGTCATCCTCGAAAAGAATGAACAAAGCTATGCATCTGAAAGAAAACACAACCCAGACGACATTCAATACAGGTTCACTTGCAGTTATGATTATCAAATTTTTACTTAATGTTATATTTATGTTCAAATTTTTTAACTATTATTATTTTTATTTACATTTTATTTGGGAAGACATACTCACAAATAGCTACAGTTGTGGTCAACATTTTACATACACTTTGCAGTATCTGCAAAATGTTAATTAGGCCTATTTTACCAAAATAAGAGAGATCTTACAAAATGCATGTTATTTTCAAATTCTTTGGTTTTCCAGCATTTTTGTGTATTTGAACCCTTTCCAACAATTGGACAACTGAGGGACTTACATGCAACTATTACAAAAAGTTCAAACGCTCACTGATGCTCCAGAAGTTAAGGAGCAACAAGATGCATAAAGTAATTAATAAACTTTTTGAATTTGAAGATCAGGGTAAATTGAAGTTATTTTCTCTTCTGGGAAACATGTAAGTATCTTCTGAAGGGCAGTACTAAATGACAAAAAACATATTTAGGCAAAATAAGGAAAATTAGTTAAGTTAAGATTTTCAAAACAGTTTTGTTTATTTTTTTATGATAAACTATTTTGTTTGATAAACAGTGTTGGGTCATCACAAAATTTAGGCTCTGTAGAAAACCAGTTGAAAAACAGTACTATACAAAGAGCTCAGCTTAGACTTCATGTATTTCTTTAACTTCACTCATCACTGTGAAGATGCACATTACAATCATCATCATTCATTGCCAGTGGCACTTTTCTTGTACAAAACTGCTGTCAACACCGGTGCTCTGTAAATGACTAATGAATGCTTCTTTGGCTATTTTATTATTTTTCCTTGATGCATTCAGGCAGATATAGCAAAATATTGGATTTGAGTAAAAAAAAAAAATTCTGTCATCATTTACTCACCCTCAAATTGATCCAAATCTGTATCAGTTTCTTTCTTCTGTTGAACACAAAAGAAGATATTTTGAAGAATGTTGGTAACCAAACAGTTGCTGGTAGCCACTGACTTTCATGTTTTTCCATACTGGCTACCGTCAATGCTTGGAACAACTGTAAATGATGATAGAATTTTCATTTTTGGGTGAACTACAGTAAGTGTAGCTTTAGTGGAGGCATTGATTGTTCTGTTGACAGTGCTGTCAACAGCACTTGGACTCTTTTGTTGTACTCGCATGACATGTTGTCTGTCTCCTTAGAAAAGGATGCTTGTTTATCCTGTGAATGGGCAGGAAAGTGGTTTTGTGACTTTCCCAGACTGCCGGCCTCCGGTCATTCACAGAGCGCTTGTTTGCCCCTCACAGTTTTATCTGAGAAAGCCATTCCTCAGCAACCCTTTATCCCGCAGTTCATTTTTCTACCTGTTCGTCACACCTTCGATTGTGCCATTTACTGCCTGTGGTGCGTTCATTGAGCTAATCCTCTTGAAAGAGTAGAACATTTATTTTACCCAGAATGCAATGCTTAACTACCTTGCTAAATGGTCGTCTGGTGGAGGAGAGCTGCCATGGTGACAGTGGCTTATGGCTCCACACTCTGTGAAAATGAGACAAGCTTTGCTTTGAGACTTAATGCAGTTAATGGGATTGACTGAAGTCTCTTGCTCAGCGATTTCTCTTTCATGATGGCTGACACCCTTAAATGTGTGTTTAAGACCCCATGACTAGTGTTGTATATATATTGAATCATTTTAGGGAACTTTTTTCTAGAGAGCCGTAGGTTTTTACTTGTTATTTGTGTGGCACTTTGTGTTAAATTTTTTTTTTTATTATTATGAAAAGTACTTTATTAATACATTAAAATTGGATTGAAAAGGTTTCTCTTATATTCTGATGTTGGGTAAAAATTCTCTATATATGCATATGATATGTGTATTTAAAATTATTTTTATTCATATAATTATTTAATAATAAAAATAGTTTTTATATATATATGAATATATATATACGTGTATATACTGATTTCTGAAAGATCATGTAACATTGAAGACTGAAGAAATGGCTGCTAAAAATGTATCTTTGCCATCATATGAATAAATTAAATCTTAAAATATATTAAAATAGAAAACAGTTATTTCACATTATTACTGTTTTACTGTATTTTTGATCAAAGAAAGGTAGTCTTGGTGAGCGTAATAGACTTTCTTCAAAAATAATTTAAAAAATCTTATAATTATTCCATAATTATTCCTTTTGACCAGGAGTGTGTGTGTGTTCACTATTGAAAATGTAGGTTATAGATCTTATGTACATCTTAAATGTACTTAAAATATGAATAATATAATTAATATGATTTGTTTACTTATAAACCATGGTCTGATAAAGTACATTTATACGTTTTTAATTTGTCTTTTAACTGACTACGTTTACATGGACATCAGTAATCTAATTATTTACCTTATTCTAAATAAGCCAATATTATGATTACGGTGTTTACATGAATGACTTTTAGAATATTCCTTTCATGTTCCTGTTTTACGTGTTATAGTACATAATTCGATTAATGGCACACGTCATTACGTCCCCACGTGACGCCATCCGACGTCCCCTCCGGAATTTCACGCCTAAACATATTCGTCTTCGTGATGATGCCATGTACAGTTTTGGGTGTTTCATTTTTAATTTTATGAAAGCTTCAAGTGCAGTTAATTATTTGTACATGCATACAGACGACGGCGGTGTTGAAGCTCTTTATTTGCCGTCAAACATATTTTAAACGTATTAAAATCGGAGTATTGTTGTCCATGTAAACGTGCTGAATGTATAGACTTATTAATCTGATTATGTTTACATTCATGCCTATGTC